AAGATAAAGTAGCGCTTAATAGATTACACCGGCGCATTAGGAAAGAGCTGTTGGCGCACCATAACCGATTGTGGGAGATAAAGTTAAGTAATACATCGAATAATAACTGCAAGGGTCGTGCCTTTTGTGGAAGTTCAAAGAAAATACAATAACCGAGCGAGTTTACCATTACCTACTATGCGAGATGGAGATTTAGTGGTGGAAAATAATGCTGACATAGCGACACCTTTTACGATCACCTCTCTACGTAGTGTGTGCCACCTGCTTATTTAGTTGCTGATGAAGTGCTTTGTGAATCAAACTTCCTTTCTGATGCCGAGGTACAGCTTGAGCCAATTACTACAGCCGAAATTGTAGAGATTATTAACGCTTTGCCGAGACGAAAGACACCTGACCCCGACGGTATCACCCACGCGATGTTAAAGCAATTACCAATGATGCCTGTAGAACGCCTATGCTACCTCATGAACTCTAATGGTTCTGGGCACCTTCCAATTCCCCTGGAAGACGGCAACTGTTGTGATGCACCAGAAGGCACCACGACCAGCATCTACGCCAAGCAAATACAAGCCTATCAGCCTCTTGTCAGCCGTTGGCAAAGCCGCTGAGCCAGTCGTACCACGCCGCTTAAAAGCATTTGTTGACGCAAGCCACCCACCGCCAGAGTTCAAATTTGGATTTCGACAAGGACACTTCACTACTCAACCACTTTTCCGCTTCACAAAGTGGACGACCCGTGCCTTCAATTTAAAGAATGCAACGGGCGCCGTCTTTCTTGATGTCGAAAAAGCGTTTGAGCGAGTTTGACAAAAGGGCTTGCTTTACAAATTACGCGCTATAGCCCTTCCTACTATTCTTTTTAACGTGATCAAATCTTACCTTGAGGGCAGCATCTTGGCTAAATGTGGGCGAGGCGCGCTGACCCCTAAGACCACCAATAGCCGGGGCCACCCGAGGATCTCTTCTACCATAACTACTCTGGGCACTTTATCTATGCTATGCGCCACAGCCTGACACCCCCCCCACGCGAACTGCCTTATATGCGGATGACACGGTGAATTACTCCTCGTCAAAGTCGCCTGCCCTATTGGGTCAGTAGCTGCAGTACTACCTAGTGGCGGTTGCCAACTGGTGTCGTCGTTGGAAAATTACTATTAATGCGGGAAAGTGCAAAGAACTTTTTTATCACAAAGAAGCGCACTACACCACGACTGCCGCTGTCCTTTGAAAATAAGGTAATTCCTTGGTATCCTCAGGCGCCGTACCTGTGGGTCATTATTAACATTAAGCTCTCGTGGCGACCACACGTAAACTAAATCGCGGCGAAGGTCAAAGGGGCGGTTCTAACTCTTTCCCCTTTACTTTTTGTTCGAAGCAAACTCTCGCTGCACAACAAACGACTCTTGTATTTGTTGTGCATCCGTTCAATTATGACATAGGCTTCTACTGTCTGGTCTACGGATTAACAGCAATAGTCTCTCTCTTCGCTTCAAGTTAGACAAAACAAGCTGCTACGCCTTATGACAGGCGCGGGGTGGTTTGTTCGCAACGATGCCTTACATAAAATTTCCAGATTGGACCTCTGGGTAATGTTTTTCGGCGCAATTCTATCGCAATCTACGATTGGCTCGATCCAGCACATTAGTCGATTACTGATAGATTAGGTCGATTACGACATCTGGGCCCTGCGCACGGTATCGCCAACCGCGTAATGGGCCCTAAATATATGATAGGGTCAGGATTAGAATTATTTTTAATAGATACATATATATTGACTACTCTAACACAAGCTTAAAGCTAATGTCGAGAGCCCGTAAATTCGGTGTTTTCTTTTTCGACCTGATTGAGCACCTAGGAAATATCATTAATAAAAAAAAAATTAATGAATCGGGTTTTTCTCTTTTAGCTCTATTTTCTTGCTTTTAGTTGTTCGCTGGGTGTTTTACTCTTGCTGGTTTACTAGCTACAAGCCTAGCACTTCAAAGAAGGATCGCACAAGTTCGGGTTTTAAAGAACCTCGTAAAATACTGGTTTGAAGAAAAACCTTGTAAACAGACTTCAGTTAAACCCCCTAAAAAATATTTCAACTATACTACTGTACATATCCCAAGCTACTGCCTTTTTGTTTTTAACATTGAACTCTGACATACAGAGATTCTAAAACACTTTTTTTTTCTGTTAGGTAATCTACATACTTTAGTCCAATAAAGAATTTCTCTTATAAGCTAGGAAACTATAGAGAGTTAGTTTTTTTTAAGTACATTGTTGTATATATGTATATATAAATGTATTACAACTTAATAGTCACGTTTTTAATGTTGGTTTTAATTGGAGTCATGAATGGTACTCTTTGTTCATGAATTTACGAGTGTATACTTTTAGTTGCTGAACTACAACGGCAAGTATTATATATTGAGCCTGCTACAACGCGTATATACGTATAAAGATTTTTCATGTTTTTCATGAATATAACTGAAAACATTTTATTTTCATTTTGCGTATTTTAGTGTGTTTTTCTGTATTTAATTTTTAGTTACTGTTTTGAATTATTTATTTTTAAGTAGTGTAAAGTGTATGTACTTGTAAAGAGGGACCTTGAGGCTCAGCTACACCTAACTAGTGTTGGCCTGCACAGCAGCATTTAATTTTTTTTTTCAATTTGTAGTGTAAAATTGAAGGGGTTTCTTTGTATTCCTGAGATTTTTTAACCAATTAAACAAGTTATTACAGTTGCATTACATAATTTATCTAATCTATGTACTTTTATTATGAAATTTAGTTTTCAAAAATTAGCTGGAATAGAATATAATAGCGAGAATTCATGATTGAGATGTTAAGTTAAACAGCCCATTGTATTGCGCTCGGCTTGGGCATAAGACCAGCGCAGTCTTCAACTGTCCTTTCATTTATGGCTATGTGTTCTAGTAATTCCATGAACTTTGCATGTACTTGTAAAACACATTGTCGCTACGCATAAACGAAACCGCACGCGTTTGGACGTAGTGTTAGCCACGTGCGTTCATTAATTAGCATGTTATGGAAATGTAGATAGCACACCCCAGTAGGGGGGTTTTAATTTTTTCTGTTCTTCGTTCCTGCGTGGGGTTGTGGTGTAATAAGGGGGGCTGCCTGATTACCGTGTTATATATATATTATTTTTGTCTAGTAAATTTATTTCTACATTTATTCCTATCTTGGGTATGAATGTATCTACGATCTCATATCCACTTCCCACGATACTGACATTCTAGGAATAACAGTGGACTTCAAAAGTGCTCTTTAGCAGTGAAAGCGCAGTAGTATTTCAACACAGCTTTAATACAAAATTTAATTTAAACCTTAAAGCTATAATTGTTTTTAAACGAAAGGCATATTAGACCATCAGATTTTGCGATAGAATCTAATTTCCTAGGTAAAAGAATATAACAAACTTTTATATTTCTGTTAAAACTGTTGAGTGAGCGCCTTGTTAACTTTTAGAAAGTTGGCGCGCGGGCGGTAATGCATTGAATATGTAACCGTTTTCTAGTAATTGAATCTCAATATATACTAGTATTTTTATAGAATAATCATTTGTTTCTGTAAAATATCTGTAAAATACCTCATTAGTCACTATCACGAAGCATTATTCTGCGTTAACGCGTAACAATACTTTTTTTTTCTATTAGCTTTAATCGCATTGTTTGTACCTGGTGAAGTTCTAAAAGCAAGCTTTTATTTAAAAATGCTTCCAAAGGCAGTTGATAGTGAATTTTTGGGATAAGTGGTAAGTAAAAGTTTCTAAAATCTAAGTCTCTTTTTCCCACTGCATAAAGATGTCTATAAAAAACGAAAAAATTACTTTTATAATAACGCGGTAAAACCTAGGAGCATGTCAACGGCATATGCGGATATGTATAGTTAAAAAGTTTTTATGAATGCAAGCAATAAATAATACTATTTATATAGTGTAAGAGGTTTTATTTTGCTTTACTGGCGTTTTGTCGTATTTAGTTGAAGGCAAAAAGCAGCAATTGCCCAAACTGTTCTTCTACCAAAAGCCAAAGTAGGAATGAAACATTAATTTTTAGAATATAAATTTGTTCATTTACATATTGTTGAAGTTAAAGATTTACAGGCTTTTATCGTGAAATAAAAAATGCTCAGGTCTAGTTGTTTCTGTTAATTCAAATTCGTACTATTTATTTTCAATGAAAACTAACTTTTTTATACTTTAATCTTATGTTGCTAGAAATAACTAGTTCTATGTTTTGTGAACGGTGCCGGAGTGAATCCTGCGACAGTACTTGTAGTTATTGTTGCATAATCACAAATATCCCAAATTCCTTTAGGTTATTAAAACAGTTGCATTATATTGTTAGTTTGTCTTGGCATATTTTATTAAGTTTAAGGCCGGGTTATTTTTCTAAACTTTATTTTAAGTAAAGTTAATAGTTCCATAAAAAACTTTGTTATTTCCACTTTTATTAATATACATTCCGAAAAGTGCGTTTAATTATATATTTGTTAAAATGTTTATATTAAAGTCCTATATACTGTGCAACCATAATTATGATAGAGCAGCAGATTTAAGACATCACTTCTCTAATCTTGTCGAAAAAGAAGGATTTGTATGTTTTCACTACAGGCATCGGCCTTCACTGGTGCCTTCTTAAAATCTTATGCTCAATATTATATCATGCCTAACTTTTAATAAATATATAAGACTTCAACAGAATTTTGTATTTGTTACTGCTTGGTTAAAAGAGAATTCCTTTCTTTTCTTTTTTCCTATTCCAATAAAGCATGGGAAAATCGTTATGGCAACTGCGTTTACTTCAATTGCGAAATTTTAGTTTTAAAAGATGAATTTAACAAAACTGACGATGGCAGAGAAGCAGAAAATCCTGGAGTCAATAGTCAAGCTTATCAAGATGTAAAAAATTTCAAAGAATTTCGGCCACCCATCGGTAATTGGTGAAAAGTTACGAACTTTATTAAATTTTTTTATGCTACGGAATGTTTTAAGGACTACCGCAAGGCAATGTGGGGACCTGCATGAAAGTAATTAAACTTATGATTAATAGATGGTAAAATAATTTATATTTATAAACTTTATGAATTTTTTGATAAACTTACAATTTTCAATTTTTATACTTATTTTTATTTAAATAAAACTACAGTTTTTAAATAAGCACTTTTTTTGCAGAGCAAAACTCCTTTTCCCTTTTATAATTAATATTTTTTGTACTTTAGTATTCTCCCTTACAACGTAATTAAAAAACTGGGCGTCCAATTTGCTTCCTTTCCAGCTACTGAAAAAGAAGTTTTTTATTTAATTTTTTTAGAATTAATAATTAAAAATTTTATGAAAAGTTATAAATTATAAAAGCCTTAACGAAACTTTAATTTTTTTTTGTATAGAATATTTAAATATAATTTTTTTTCGATGGTTTTTTTTTACTTTTTAATAGTATATATTATTCGTATTAAAAATCTTTTTTACAAAAATCCTACAATTGTTTATTTTTAAGAAATTAATTGTTTGATTACTTTTATATATTTTAGATAATTAACATTTTTATTGTTCCTATTATTAAAATTTTTAAGAATAATTTGATGACAAGAAACAAACTTTTTAATTTTGAACTTTACCGAATAGATAATTCTATTTTATTTTATTTTTACTTTCTTTCTTCAGAAGTACACTTCGTAAAAGTATAAAAGCAAGTAAATATTATATAAAACTTTTTTATAATGCAATTAATAAAATATAATAAAACGTTCAAAAATATAAGTAACGATTTATATAATTTAAATTTTTTGGATTTTTTTTACACGTAACGAACAGTAATAAAGTAATAACCAATCATATATCATTTTTAAAAACATTTCATATCAAATCAAAATTTTTATAATTTTTTTAGATTAATTATTTAATTATTGTCATGAAAAAAATCCTCCATTCAGAGTTTTGAAAATAAACTATTGACCAATAACATGCCCCAAAAAATTTTGTTTACATTTTTCACCAAGTACTGGCGAAGTATTAAAGTCTTCAATTTTTGAATGAAAATTTTTACTCATTTTATTTTATAGTTGTTCTTAGCTGTAATCATTAAGAAGTATGTTTTTATTACTAATGGGACTTTTATTATTATTATTATTAACTAATTTTAAGGAACTTGCATAGTTTATCTGTTAATTATATTATTCGGATTGTTTGTTATTATATATTATACTTGAAAAGAAAACTTTACCTATATTTCAATAATGTTTTAAAAGGATTATCGTCGGGAACCTATTATACAAAGCGATGAAGAAGAGTGGGAGCGGTATAGTTATTATAAAACATAATAATAATAATAATAATAATAATAATAATAATAATAATAATAATAATAATAATAATAATAATAATAATAATAATAATAATAATAATAATAATAATAATAATAATAATAATAACGATATATTAAAGCTACGAAAGTTTACACGGAGATGAATATGAAGAAAAGCAGAACAGGTTCGTTATTTATAGTAATAAATCTATTTATTATTATAAACTTTACCATTATTTACTATATTTTTTAGAGCAGTTTAAAAGTTGTTATTATTAATATTATTCTCATTCTTTTGATAAATATTGTTTGTAGTTTTTTTTACTTATATTTTTATATTAAATAATTATTAGAATTAAATAACTTTGTTTGTATTAATTATTATCTTTACTATTATATTAATATGCAGTATTAATAGTAGTATTATATTATTAACTTTGCTATAGTTTATTGATAAGTAAAATAATATATTATATCTATAAACTTTTCTTCAAATAAATTTATAATAAAGTTTCATATAATTGTATATCGTAATTATTATTATTGCGTTTCTTATTTTATTATTATATAATACTATTAATTCTATTAGTATTTACAGAGCAATAATCTGAATATTATTATTTTTACTTTATATTATATTAAAGATTTGTATTAAATAAGTTTTTTAATTTATTATAATATTTACAAAATAAAAAGTAAAAACTAAAAGTTGCATAATAAAATAACAACAATTTTAAAATTTTTTTCTATTTGTTATTTTTGTAACTTTATTTAATAAAATTTATATTACTTTTTGCATATTATAATAAAGCGGTTATAAAGTTTTATGAATAAACTGTGATAGTAATAATAATAATATTTGTTTGTTTCGTTGCAAGGCATTTATTATTAATACTTTAGGGAACTTTCCTACGAGGAATTTGTTGAAAAAACTTGGTACTATTATTATTAATAATATATAAAAGTTTGTATTAAGAAAAATAAGTAATAATATTTTATAGTGAAAAATATAATAAAAGTTTATAATAATCAAAACTTCAGATTTATAAATTTAAAATATATTAAGTGTACTAACTTTTATTAATGGGTAAATGGTGTATATAAAAAGATTATTTAAAAGTATGGCCTCATTATTATTTTCTTTATTTTAAAAACTATAATAATTTTAAAAAAAGCTTTACTATTTTTATTATTTGTACAATATTATAAAGGGACAAAGGCGATGCTTCTGGTTTAGTTTTTTATACTGATCAGTTTTACTGGAACCAAACCAAGGAAGAGCCTTCCGACGTTCAAGGTTATTATTATTATTATTATTATTATTATTATTATTATTATTATTATTATTATTATTATTATTATTATTATTATTATTATTATTATTATTATTATTATTATTAATTATAATTATACTTTTTGGACATAAAGATTGGGACGCTGATTCCCTGGAAAACTACAAGCATCCACTTGCAAGGTACATATCTCTTAATTTATTTACCACCAATCAAATAAAAGGTTTAGTAAGCCAATCAGATAAAGTATATACCAACAAACGATCAGTTTCCTTTTAAACTTTTTTTATTCTTTACTATGGATAGCTTTCTTTAGAGCGAATTTATTAAAGGTTAATGTTTATAGTAAAGATTATTGCTGTTCATTATATAAGAATCGTATATTTTTATCCCTATCCATTAAAAAAAATATAATTATATTTGAGCACGTGAAACTTTCAGCGTGCTTTTAAAAAGCTTGAATACGGTCTTGCCATTGGTCAAGAAAAAAAGTTTGCATTGCAGTGATGCGCTTTTAATAAAAATATTTATTTTCTTCTACGCTTCAACAATTTTATACTTACTATTATTTTTTCATTATTATATATGTATATAATATGTTGTTAGTTTCGTTTATTATAATTTATTTGTTATAATTTTAATATATTCATTTTTATATAAATTTCCTGTGAAATTTAATAAACTTTATTTCATATTTATTATTATAATATTAAAATTCAAATAATATTTATTAATAGTTTCTTTAATAAAATTTATTTATTGAATTTTGAAAATTTAGTATAAAACTTAATAAAACCTTTTTAATTATATTTTTATTATTTATAATTTTTTATTTTATTTATTATTCGAAAATATTTTATTAATTCATAATAATAAAACTATATAATTTTTATTTAGAGTTAATAAAAAAATATAAAATTTATATTTTATTTTTAACGTAAACTTTTATACAACTTTTTACTTATTAAATTAATAACTTTCTTATATATAATATATTTTTAATACCTAAATATTTATTTAAAAAAGCTTTTTAGTATTATATAATATTCATTATGGTTTTAAATTTTTTTTTAATTTAATAATGATTATTGTAATAACTAGTGAAAATTTTTACTTTTAATAAGCATTTTCACTATTTTAATTCTTATTATATTATACATTTTCTTATGAACTCATAAAAGTTTTATAATATAATATAATTTCTTATGCAGTGAAGAAAAAAATTTTAAGGAATTTAGAAAATGCATAAAAGATAATGAAAGGAAGCAACCAATCTTTGAATGTTATAACAAAGCTTTTGGTAATATATAATAATTGAGTCAATAAAAGCGCACTATTTACTCTAAAAAGGCACAAAAATTCTCGTTAAGGAAGGCTGGGTCCCGGGTTCAGCATTAAAAACTTCAGGCCTTTCACTAAATAAATTCTTAACTAAAGAAAATAAAAATTTTATAAAAAATATAAATAAACATTTATGAAAATTTTTATGTAGTTTTTTATGTGTTATTATTGACATTAATAATTCATAGGAATCGTTGAACCCATTCAGCCAAGTGACCGTTACACACGTGGTAAGCGCGGGCTTGGATTTACCTCTGATTCGCCCGTTTACAAAGTACTGTGAATTTTTTAAGGAGTTTTATTTTATTATAAGAATTTCATATTTTTTAAGGACTTATCGTACTCGCATGTAGTCATCAAGAAGCAGAATAACTCAGAAAATAATGATAATAATAGTAATAGTTTTTCTTTTATGAAGTTTCGTAAAGTGCATTTTGAATCACGAGGACCCAATTGAAGGGTTATTCATAATAGTAAACACTTTTAATAAAAAGAGAACTCACTAAAAAAAGTTATGATTTAAACAACAAAATCGATTAACAACATTTTTACTGAAACTACTTTTACGTTCCATTGAAAAAATATCTTCTCTATTGTACGGAATTTTTTTTGAGGCCAAAGAAAAACCGGTTGTTACTTTCTTTATTAAAATTGTAATATATATATTTTTTTACTTCCACAACGTCTTTGCTTTTGGCCTAAGTTTTAAAAAACTTATGCTCGATATTGTAAAAGTATTAATTTGAATTGTAATGATGAAAAAATATAATAATAACGAGTGCAGATAACTGCGTAGTACTAATAATATAAAAAAATACTTAAAAACCATAGCACTCGCACTTTTCATAGGCAAAACTTAGAAAATTGTGTTGAAATTACAGTTCGACAAGGCTTATAAGCAAAGTTAACCAATTAAAATGGGAAAATTCGTAAGGGCCACATGGTTTTCAGCCAATCAGCCGTTCATTTTAAATAAATCGTTTTATAGTTTTTTATTAGAAAAAATAAGGAAAACCCAAACTGAGTGGAAAGAGGAGGGTCATTATTATTTATTTTGTCGGGAGAGTGAGGGAGATAACAATATTATGAGAAAGAAAAAAACATGCGTAGAGTCAGAGTCACGGGTTGTGAACACGTAATCTATTAGAATAAAATCCACTAACTTCAAAGTAAAGGATTTGAAAAAAGTATCCAAACGCTACAAATATAAATCATTTAATTTTAAAAGCTGAGTATTCGCTAACCTTTTTTCCTTCTGATCTCGTACCATCTGGTATAGTGGTCCATGGCGATGGCGACCCGAGGTGCATATACTTATATATACTAGTAAATAACACTAAGGGCAACAGTGCGCACTACCATACGCCAATGTAGACATACTCCAGTACACACCATTACTCACTCGCACGGGTCGTATATCAATTCAGTTAATTAGCTGAACTTGTTACATGACCATATTATCAATGATCCAGGAAAGGGCAACAGTGTTATTATCGTTACCCGTTATGTTATTCTTACAACCAAGAGATTTTAGACGCACTTAGTAGCTAAAAGGAGCAGTTCCTAACATAATTTAGCCAGTTTCACCAATGATTTCACTAAAGGCGTCATTGGATCTGCTTACTCGCATCTAGGAAGAATCGACTTCCTAGGCAACGCTAGTATACAACGCGTAAGCTTTTACTTCAGCAAGATTACTGAGCCTATCGGTTTCAAAGCAACAAGTACCATCCAACAAGGACTTCGTCACTCTGTAGTCTAACTTCAGCGTTATACTGTGATTTCTCCTTTTAAATACAGAGAAGATAACATCTGCCTAGATCCGAGCCGCTGACGCCTTTTTACCGATTTCACGTGCAGAACTTTCGACATGAGGATTATTAAGTCGTATTGCAGACCCCCCATGGCCCTCTCCAAAGTAATATCTTACCCTCCACTTCTGAGTTTTAATCAGGAAGGTACCCTAAGCACGGTTTTTCCAGTTGTTCATTACTTTGAGCATTAGAGAGCTTCATTAGCCCAAGGTCATTAGTAAAACTAGTCCATAGTAGAGGGTGTGACATGACCCGATCGAATATGTCTACTTTAGAATGTTATTCCTTTCCCCAGATGGCAGTCGTTTGTCAATTATCATTATATTTACCACGTGGTATGCCACGCGGCTAGTTATTCTAGTTAACTTTACTAACTTTCAGGTAAAAGATTTAACAAAAATATGAAAATGCTACAAAAATGATTGATATACTTTAAGAGTTGCATATTCGCTGACCTTTTTTCCTTCTTATCTCATCCTGCCTAAAAGTAGTGGCACATGACATTATTGTCCATGTGGGCACGTGCGCGTAACTATTTTTTATTATAATTGTCCAACATTAACTCACTAGTAAAAGACCTATAAATAAAGTATGAACACGCTACAAACGCGAATCCTGTACTTTACAAGCTGAATATTTGCGCCCTTCTTAACTCACTATAAAAATGGCCAGCGCAACGCTTTTTAAGAGGCGTAAAAGTTATTATAAATATATGAACGCAAAAGTTTTCCGTGTAGTACTTAATAAATTTACTTGGCTTAATTAAATCTTATTAATTGCTGCTCTATAAAAATCTTCAATATTTTTAATAAATTTTATATACATATTAAAGTCTACATTTTCGTTTATACTTGATTTTACATCCAAAATTATTTTATGACAAATTATTTAAAGAAACCTCACTATTTACAATTACTTGCGCAAAAAAAAACATGAGCACAATAATTTATATTTTTTCCGCATGAATAAATATTTTTCAGTAATAATAATTTTTGTATTAATAACTTCTGTGAAAAGTAAAATTAAATAATAGTAATAATTTTCTATTAAATTTAAAAAAAAAGTTATAAACTTTCTTTAAAGAAAAGATAATTTAATAAAAAAAGGTGTAATCTCAAGAGCCAATGAGAGAGAGTATATCGCAAACAAGACCGTCCAGCAAGATATAAGAGCTAAAATTTTTACGCAACGAGCCCAACAACTCGTTTAGGCGCCAACGAGATTCCTTAACAAACTTTTTTCTTTCGTTAATTGTAATAAGCCAATACTGATAGTCCTTCTCTGCTTCGCTATGGAATGCAAAAAAAAATAAAGAAGACTGATAATATAAGAATAAAAAACCTCACAAGCGCGGCTTTTTTGATATAATAATATAAATGAACCCAAATAATATACAAAAGGTTCTCAAGTTTGACTAGAAGTATAATAAAGTAAAAGAAAAAATTAAAAAATATATTAAAAAAGAGTACAAAGACACTTTTCCGGCAGCAAAATTTTTTCTTCGCAGCCCAGCCAATCAGATTGGTTGAGTTGATCACTAGTTTCTCTGAGGCACTGCACTAAGCAAGAAAGCCTGCTTTGCTCGTCATCTGAAGGCGTATATGATATATCGATAACGAGAATAATAAAAAGTAAATAGTAAATAATATTATACTTATCTTATTAACAATTTCTTACTATTTTATTATTTTTAAATTAATATTTATTTATTGCTTTACATATCAATATTAACGAGAAAAATAGTAATAGTAAGAAAATATATAATAAGAATAAATAATGATATAAAACTTTTACTTTTTTTCTATAATTTCTTCTATTAATTTTTGATTATAAACGAGAAAAAAATTTAATAAGAAGTAAATGAACAAGGAAACATTTACATCCTATTTTATTAAGATAAAAATTACTTTATATAAAGATTATAATAAGAATAGTAAATATATAATAAATTATTATAATTATAAAAATAAAAAAAATAACTTTTATTTGTTATTAATAATTATATATAAATAAGAGTATAATAAGTTTATAAGTTATAAGAATTTTAATCACAATAATTATTGCTACTAGTTATTGCTTTTTAGATAATATAGTAATAATAATAATAATAAATAGTAAAACCGAAAAGCTCATATTGAGGAGGAAAGAGTGGTAGACTCCCGCCGTTCACTAAACGTTTCGTGTAAAAAATATTTAGATACTTATTATGAGTTAAAAAAAAAAGAAGTATTATTATAAAGTCGTTACTTACCGATAAAAAAATGTTATATGTACATTTATAAACCAGTAATAAATAAAAAGTATTAAAAAAAGTTTTTACATATAAAGGAAATAATAAAAAATAAATTCAAAAAAATTATACCTATGGCCATGCATATCATTAAAATATTATAGTAACAATAATAATATTAAAAATAATAATAATAACAATAGTATTAATAATAATAATAATAAAATAATAATAAAAAACCGTCTCCAAAAGCGTTGCGGCAGTAATGAAGAACAGCATTAATGATATCGTCCACCATTTCTATAATAGTCTTGTCCGTTTCGTACTTTTGTATTAGTTAATTATAATTTATAGTTATTTTTTTTTGACCAGTAAGATATTATTATAAACGGGTAATAAAGATTATATACAAACGAGGATTAATAATGACTATCCTTATTTATAATAATAATGCACCATGTTTATTTAAAGTTTTATTATAAATAAAATAATAACTTGAGGCTCGTGAGAACTATCACTTGATGCAATTATATTAACACTCTGAAGTTTTGGAATCCACACACTTCGGGAATAAAACTAAATATAAATAAAAAAGTAGCAAAAGTTTGGTATTATTATAAATATTATAATTATTTTTATAACCAGATCTAGAAAAGATAATAATAAGCTGCCAATTCTATTAATGCACAGTTCAGTATCAGTAGAATTACAGAAAAACTTCGATAAAACACTCAACAACATCGACAATTCTCTACGTGCATTCATAATAATAATAATAATAATAATAATAATAATAATAATAATAATAATAATAATAATAATAATAATAATAATAATAATAATAATAATAATAATAATAGTAATAACTTTATATAGACGATGTCTTGTTTAGATATACTCGAAAGCGACTTCAGAGATTTAGTGAGCTCCATAGCGATTGGAAAATAATAAGAAACAAATAAACTGATTTGCTGATAGGACACTGAATCAGAAAGCGTAGTGAATATACTACTCAACAAACGTAAGGAAGCAGATGAAAGGCTTCGCGACTGTTCCTAATATTAATATATTAGAATTTACATTTTTTTAATACTTGTTGGTTTATAACATTTATTTACTTAATAATTTTATTCATTATATTTTTGTTATCTAACTTTAAACTATATATATAAGTGAAGAGCGTAATATACATATATAGACAAATATACAATAATATTAAACGTAAATTCGGAGTCAACGTGAATGCCTCTATCGTCTTGGAGTTGACCAATAAGAAGCTCGCTTTGCATCAATATATCAACGATATCAAGTTCAAGTAAAGTTCGCGCTCCTAAGAATATTAAAAATATAAATTCAGAAATATAATTGATTTATAAAAATATTTTTTTAAAAAAAGATCGATAAAAATAAGTATAATGCGAAAAATAACCAATAGAATGGCGAGAAAGGGAAAGAAGCAAAGCCAACTTGGCTTCCATTAACAACACATGCGGAACTTCATCCTCGTTATTTTGTTCGTTAATAAAACTTTCAACAATCTTTTATAATAATAAAAATATTAAAATAAATAAAGAAGAAAAATAAATGAAAACAAACCAATTTACTTTCCTTTACAATACCAAATAAAAGTTGCTTTAAATAGGGACGCCCTCTAATAAAAATATAATAATAATAATAATAATAATAATAATAATAATAATAATAATAATAATAATAATAATAATAATAATAATAATAATAATAATAATAATAATAATCATAATAATAATCATAATAATAATAATAATACGATTGGCTGCAAAGAGCCTGACAAAAAAGCTGTCTTCTGTCACGCAGAAGCATTACTGTTATTGTAGAAAAAGCAAGAATCCTGCATAAAACTGATAACATTTCAAACTAAAAATGATATTCACTAAAATATTTTATATATAATAACCGTAATCGCAGAACAAATCTTGAAACAAGTGTTCTATTAAACTGGCAATAGAACTCTCAATTAACTTTTGATTGCCACTAACAAGACTCTAATAATAATAATAATAGTAATAATAATAATAATAATAATAATAATAATAATAATAATAACAGTAATACACCTCCAGTAACGGGTCACCGTTATTCAATAGCGACAATGTAGTGACATTCATTGCTTGAAAATATATACAATAAAAACAATGAAAAGTTTATAAATAAAATTCACGTCAATAAAAATAAGGATAAAAATATTAATAATAATTATAATTCAAAAGGTTTACGTAGAAAATAAAACTACACACACGATAATAATGAAAGTTAACATTAATTTTAATGTACATAAATATTACTAAACTTACTTGGGGTGTCTATGGAAACTTTATTGCTCGTAAGTTGAAGATAATTAAGAATGGAAGCATATAAGTTGCATTTTGTATGCTGTACATAATAATATGTCAAAACTTTCATAGAAAAATTGCTATTATTTATTATATAAAATAAGAAAAATTATGAAAATGATGTTAGAAAGTACCGCGTCGAGAGCAGAATTACGAAATAAGTTCAACAATCCGTCAAAAACTTTATGATACTACAAAAATAATAAATATAAAAAGTTTATAACGAAATTTGTTAGTAAAATAATGACGTCACGAGGAGAAAAGTCGTTATAAATGGACAAATTCGATTCAGTTAAGTTCAGCAGTCTATGAATTAAGAGAATAAAATATAACCAAAAATGGAATATAAACTATTTTAAATTTCATTGATCAATATTACAATTATAGGCAGAATTTTTTCGGAATTATTAATATATAGAGGGCTGTTATTGGTGAAGCGATACTACCTGAGTTTCCATATCAAGCAAAGAACGCCCCTTGAAAGTTCATTAAAATAAAATATACCGGGAGAGTTATTCAATTTACTCAACAATTGAGGAAGAAAGCATATAATAACGTTCGACAAACGCTCTTTGCTCTTATAAAAAGCATATCAATGATTTTTTATACTAATTTTAATTTCATAAAAAACTGATGGAGCCGTTAAAAAATCAGTAAATTTTATAACTCGTAAACAATTATAATGATTAAAGATTTATAAGCCATAAAGAAAGTAAATTAGTGAACCAATGAGCAAGCAAAAAATTAAAAGTGAAAAGTACATGCAAAGTAGTATTTAGTTAATAAAACAATTTTTTTTTGCTTTTACAGTTTTCAAGCGGAATAATAAATAAAAAAAAAATTTAATACGAAATATATTTATGTTCAGCCAAACAATATAAATAGAAGGAAAAAATAAGAAAAAGAATAAGCCGACAAATAAACAAATAAGTTTATATACAAAAAAGGGTCAATAAAAACGTCGATATATATAAGAAAATTAATAGTGCTATAAAAACCAATCATATCATCGTTTATTATGAATTATAAACAAATAGCCAATAACAATAACATAAATAATTCTATCTCATTACGTTATAAATATGAAGAAATAAATTCATTAATATATATTCATTGTTAATTAATAAGAAATTAATTAACCCAATAAAGAAGCATAAATAATATAATAATAACACGTGGTTAAGCCCATATATATGGCTCCAATTACAGATGATATCATAAACCGATAATCAATAAATTCGTTATCAAAGACCGTTTCAAATATAATATCCAATGAAACTTCTAATAATTGCCGCCATGCATTTAAGAGTTTAGTCTTACAAAAAATCTAATGGAAAAAGTTTGTGAAGCCGACTTTGGCCCTAATTAAGTGTTTAAAACCAATCGAAAGCGAGTATTTTCCTCTTGAATCAAAGCGCGGTATTCTTTTAGCAGCTAGAGAATTATGATTAACCAATAATAGCTGGTTATTACAGTTTTGTACTTCTCGTCTTTCAACTTTATCTTCTGCATACTCCAAAAACATTTCGACGTCTACAACGGGATATTCTTCAAACCTCTTAAGAACAATAAGTCAAATAGTAGGAAAAATAATGATAGTAATATAAATAAAACCAAGCAGTGAGCCTGTATAAACTCTATAAAAGTGGCGGGCATGTTTAAAAAGGATTTAGAATGATCTTCATCCACGCGAATGCCTTCAAAAATTTCAAGTACAGATAAACTGTTATTGTCTATAAAAATAATACAATAATGATAATACAATAATAATAATAATAATAATAATAATAATAATAATAATAATAATAATAATAATAATAATAATAATAATAATAATAATAATAATAATAATAATAATAATAATAATAATATACAAAGTCGTGCCTGTAGAAAAAATAAACTGGTGAGCATAATTAACACTTTTTTCCGACTCGATTCCTCCAAAGAAAAGCCAACTCGTTAATATCTTATTCAGTACATAAAATATATAAATTATTAAAATATAATTTATGAAAAACACTAAATAATAATAACTTTATATCTTATAATATAAGTATAGCAACAATATTAGCATACATTATATATATATATATATATATAATTTATAATGAAAGTTCGATAACTAAGCATACAAATATAAAAAAATATATACTTTTGATTAAAATTTTTAAATTATTATATATATATAATATCAAATAATAGAATTTTTATAATAAGAATTATAAAAAAAAAGTAAACAAAAAATATGTAGGTAAAAATATAAAATATTAGATATTTATTATATAAATATGTAATATGAAAAACTATTCACTACCATGTTTTTATTTTTTTCATAAATATACATAAGTATACCCGAAGTAGAAGGAACTGAATAGAATAGTCAAAGTTCTCTTGCAAGCTTTCATATTTATATTTACTAAAAATGGTTTGGAAATTCTAATCATATAAAGAAATAAAAAATCAATAAACTTTTATAAAAGATATAAAGTCGTTGGCAAATAGTTGAAAAAAAGGTATAAATCATAAAAATTGTAACCACTGTTAAAAAAAGTCGAAAAAGTCAATACTCTATGATAATTATACTAAAATTCGCAAGTGTACTTAAGGACGGCTAAAATACCAACCAATGAGAAGACAGTAGAACTAAAGTCATAATAAAAATTGCATTAAAATATTGCCTTGCATAATCAACAGTTTCAACGCCTCTATGCGCTTCACAAGAATAATTGTGACAAAAATTTCATAGTAACTGGACTAAACAAAACAAAAAACTTTTCCCATTGGCTAATCTACTCCGTTTGCTAGAAATAAGGCTGAGCTAAGCGCATATCAACGCAAAAAAAAAACTTACATACATTTTTATAAAATTCATAGAAAATATTTTTAAAAGTTTTCGTATATGTACAAAAAAAAGCTGAATAACCATTACTACTAGCAAAATATAAAATGATATAAAAATGATAACACAAAAAATAATGCAACAATATTTCAACAAATATATACGACTTTCGTAAATATCTAACAAATAAAAAGTAAAAAAATATATAGAAAAAACTTTTTGTTCCAGGTAAGAAAAAGTAACGGGCGCCGTCGAATCGTTCGAGCAGAGCACATGGAGAAGCGACAAAGATTTCTGTAGTAAGCGAGGAGGACTCGTGCTGACCGTAGAAGATTCTGTTATATATTAAAGAAGTAATAATGAATAGAATATTCATATAAGAAAGGAAAACAAAATAAATAATCTGTTATTATATAAAAAAATAGGCTATAAGTAAATAGTCAACAAGATAATAAATTTTATAAACAAAATTATAGAAAATAAAAATAAGCAGAACAATATTTAAGAAAAAAAGATATAATTAATAATATATTAATAAAAAAATTCTTAAAAAATATATTCTACAAAAAAACAAAAAAATATAAAAATATAATAATTACAAATATTTGAAAACAATAGAAAATATTAATATTAATAGAACAACCAATAAAATATTTATGATAAGCATTACAAATAAAAAGTCAGAAAAAAAAACAAAAAATATAATGAAAGACTATATATTTGGAAAAAATACTATATACAATACATAATACAAAAAGGAAAAATAAAAATGAATAGTTAGCATAAAATAATGAATGGAAAAATTAGAAAAAGTAGAAAATAAGTAGCCAAATACTATAAAGAAAAATCTATATTTACGCTGAAGAGAAATGTACTCGAGTACAAAGCCAATAATAATATTTAATATAGCAAAAGTCTCTGAAGTTTCATCCACATCCGCCAATATGGACACAGCATCAGGCTCAAAAGGCGAATCGAAACCTCGCAAAAAATGAGGTTAATTATAATAATTACTGTAAAAATGTTTTAAAATAAAATAAACTTCGTTAATGTTCAATAAATAATAATAAAATATAAACCAAGTAAGCAATGCCCCAAAGAATATTTAGGGCCCTCCTCAACACTACATATCAAAAGTTCAAGGAGAGCACTAGAGATGGCGCCAATTTTGTTCAGTATTTTTTCTGAAAAAATAGTGACAGAAAAACTTTACGAGAAAGTGAAAAAAAAACCTCGATTTCTATTTGGAGAAGAAGGGGAGCAGGAGGTATCAGGCATAGAGGAAAATAGAAGAGCAGATTTATTTAACCAATGGGAAATAGCAACTTTGAAAGTAAGAGTGGAAAAAGAGCCAATCCGGAAATTTTTTATCTAACGAAAATTTTTAATTGAAAAAAATATACTAAATAGATATTAAAAAAGAACCAAGTCGGGATAATACTCGTTATTTTTATTGCAAAATTTGACCAGATGGACCAATAACGAGGCGGCCTGTTTCGAAATATTCACCGCATGGGTATCAGAGTCATTACTTAAAGCATAAACCACGTAAGTGGTTAACGTTCCGACTTAAAAAGAAAAAAATCAATGAGTATTATAACTTACAATAATATCAAAAGTCATAACTATTATTTAACTAGTGGATTTGTATAAAAACTTCTTACAAACTTTAATCATTTACATTTTTTTAATAGAGAAATATAAAGTTTTACATTAATTTAAAAAAGTAAAAAAAAAATATTGAATAAAATAATATTATTATAATTTATAAAATAATAAATATTTAGCTCCATAAAGAAACTTTTTCAAAAATTTTATGGTTTTTGCATTATAAAAAAAAGTACTTAGAGATAATTAATAAATAAGTATTACTTTTTTTAAAAAAATAATAGAAAAAAATTAAATTACTTGTGTTTAAAAAAAATTTTCAAACTATTTCTTTATTTAAAAACTTTATATAATGAATTTTTAAGTACACTATAAATATTGTAGTTATTCATTATAAACTTTTTTTAATAATATTTACTATTCATAAAAATATAAAGAAACCTTTATTTTGCTCAAGTATAAAAGCTCCCAAAGATAACAAGTCCTTTTTGAACTCATTTAGTTCATATTCAAGCTCTATCACTACAATAATAATAAATAATAACGATAATAATAGTATATAAATATATAAAACTCACATAGTAAAAGTGTTAACAAATCAAGAGCATAATAAGCGGTAAGTAAGGAATCCCAAAATTTCTTCCGGGAAGCAACATCGAAAATGGAGTCAAATTCCTAAAAACGGATCCAAATTAGAATTTTTATTTGTGTATTTTTTTAAGAATGGAACTGATAAAAAACACAAGAAAAATTGATAACTGCGCCATTTGGAAAAATTACAACCAGAAAAAATTAAAAGAGCGCCATATTAGTTTTTATAGCTCTAAGTTAAATTATTGGGAAGTATAAAACGTTTCCACTAAAAGTAATTTATAGTAAATATATGATAAATGCTTTCGTGCATTTACAAAACTTTATTATTATTATTACTATTATTATCAGCTTTACCTCTCGAAGAAAATCCGAACCCAACAGAATGCTAAAAATATTACATAATATTCCGTTTCGAAAAGATTCAGGCTGAAGCAAAGAGCACACTAACTTTTTAACTATCCGTTAAAAAGATTAGTTACGGTTCATATATATAAAAGGTTTAGCTATAAAAAATACCACAAGGCTGCCTGATGCCCTTTTGGAGGGCAAGACGAGAGCTGTTTTTTAATAGTGAACAGCAGAAATGTAAGCATGAACGTATTAACTTTTTCTTAGAAAAGAACTGCCTATCATAATAATAATAACAATAATAATAATAATAATAATAAACATAATAAGCACCGATCTGTCAGTATTTTGACGCTCAACTGTACACATTGGCTTAAAGATGACGAATAAAAAATGTCTGAATTGTTCAAGCGAAAAGTTTTAAAGGCCTTCAAAACCGCGCTCATCTATTGGTGAAAAATATCATTGGGTGCTTCTGTTTCAGATAAATATTCTAACCAATCCAAAAAAAGCACTGGTTTGGTTAAGAGAAGTTTCTTCACGAAAATGAAGTTCAATAATATCAACAATACTATAAAGTTTATACTTATTTAACTAATTCCCTTAAAAGTTTTACAAAGAAAACACCTTCTCTGGCAGTTTTTAACGCCGTATTTCTCGTAAAGACCAATAGAAATTTGGTATCCGGCTTCCATAGTATACAAAAAAAATTTTTTACAAATAAGTATTGTGAATTTAAAAAATTTTAAAAAATTAAAAAAACCCATCATGAGACGAAAGAGGAGTCAATAATAACCAGCAAAAACAAAAAAAAATGATATCTTCAACAATAATTTATCATTAATTATTATTATAATGTTTTATTATAACAAACTTTTCATTATAAACAAACGAGTTGTATATTTATATAATTCGACCAGAATCCGCCAAACAAAAGGAAGAAAAAATTTTCATAATAGATGCGCGCACGTAGAGATACTCTGAATTGTGGAACAGGCGGATCAAAGTTCCAACAAGTGGCTGAAAAAGGCGTAAAAATAAATAACAAAAATAATAATGAATGATTATTATAAAAATATATATACTTTAAACAAAGAAAAGTTCCGTAGTAAAAGTGACTTGGAAGACCTGCAAAGCGCGCGAAGTAACTTCAGTACAACAACAACTTGCTATTGTGGAGCGTTATTATGCAAGCAACCATTTTAGTGAGCTACTACGAAAAACCTGGCTCCCATCCTCGCCAGTGGGATTACTAGCGCAAAAGGTCAGTAAATCATAAAATACTTCCCAATGGAGATGTTCATTAAAAGAGTAATGTAAGAGCCAATCAAAGATTTCCTCGGCAACCATTGGAGAAGAGGCAAGCGCACAAAGAAGCTTAACTTCCGAAGTAAAAAGTGGAAAAGAGGAGGGACTTTGCTTCAAAAGAACTCGCAGATCAACTAAATATAGTACTTATATATAAATAATAAATAAATATATATATTATATTACTTTCTCCTTGAGTGCAATTCCACGCGTACTCGCACAGTTTAGGAGAAAGTTTATAAACAGAAGTCATGAGAGAAAACAGTGGCTAAATATAATATAAATATGAACCAATCAAAAAAAGAAAAAATTACCAATAAAAAAATAAATAAAGTACCACCAAAAGTTGTGACGACGAAACCGAATAGAGCTGCGCCCACTTAAAGTTGATATTTATTATAAGAAAATATTTGTTTTATACTATTTATGTTTTATTTAATTATTATAAAATACTATTTCTGTTATTCTTGTTAATAATTGAATATAATTTACTTATATGTTTTTCCTTTATTATTATTTTTTATTAAATTTTTTATTATATATTATATTTGAGTAAACCACTGTATATAGTTTACTTTATATTACTTCTTTATTATTATTATTTTTTTAAAAGTTTTTATTTAATACTATTTATTATTTCTTTATTATGTTTATTTATTATAAAAAAAAATTTGTGTCCTACTATTAGTTTGTATTCAATATATAATTTAATATTATTATTTATAAATTATAGATGACAACTCCACCATTTTCAAAATATAACGGTGAACAGTTTCCAAGTAAAAGTCCACATTTTCTTCCGTCTCAAAGAAAACGTTGTCCATAATGCGCTCCTCAATAAACTTCATATGATCTGCTTTATTACCTCCAGGTTTGAGTTGTTTGATAAAAAGTTCCTTTCAAAAAAAATTATGATACTTATTATTACCATAAATATATATATATTTTATATAATTAAATAAAAATAAAAAAAACCTCCCAGAAGTCATCATAGTGATAGCAAAGAGTCAATAGTAAACATATAAGATAAACAGGCAAAGGTTTTCTATATTAAAAGTTATTATTATTTTACTATTTAAATAATTATTATTTATTTTATAATAGTAATTATTATATATGATCAACCGAATGTTTTCAGATTCATTATTCCTCTGAAAAGTTACAAAATATTTATATACAAACTTCTTTATCGATGCTATGGCGACGGGTTTAGTTATACTAAAATAGTAGTTGTTAAAAAAAAGAATAAATACATACAAACTTTGAATTTAAAAAAAAATTAAGCAATAATAAAGAAAAAAAATTGAAGTATGTATTAAATAATATCATTATAAAAATATTATACGCCCTCAAAACATTAAAAAAAAAGTATAAAAAAATATATTTCTTACTATTAATATTAAAATTGATACAAGCGTTGAAGAATATACAAAAAAACTTGTATAGCCACTAAAAAGGTTTATTAGAAAATAATAAAGAACGTCTTTTGTTATTACCTTTAAATTATAACATTAATAATACTTGATAAAGTTATAAAAAAAAAAATTAATAATTTATTTATAAATTATAAAATACTTTTGTGATGCAAAAAAAACTTATTTTTTTAATATTTTTTAATTATTAATAAAAGATGCATTATTAATAAAAATAACGTATAAAGTAATTATTGTTATAATAAAAAAGCTTGTATATATAAAAAATATTTACTGCAAAGATTAAAAAATCATTAAATTTGAATAAAAATAAAAACCAAAAAAATTAGTTATACAAAATTTAATAAAACTTATTTTGGTATTTTCTAAATTTAAGCTAAACAACTAAAAATATTAAAACGAAAAAAATTTCTAAAAAGTAAATTTAAAAAGCTAATCAAAAGTTTGTTACAATAAATTCCTTATTTTAATAATATAGTCAAAAGAAGGTTCCAAAACTTTTTATTAATACAATTTCATCATTGTTAGTTAAAAAATATATCTAATCCTTTTAGCAGTTTAGTAATAATAGTTGCTATAAAATTTTATATAATAATTTCAATTTTAATATAATTAACTTCACTCTTCCATAATAAATAAAAATAACTTGCAAATTAAAATTAAATTTTGCAAATTATTATATTAATTAAAAAGACCTGACAAAAAAAACGCACTGCGCCAATAAATCGAGCTCGTCTTCTAAGCAACGAGAATAACTTTCAATCATAAAATTTTCCTGTTGTTCTTTAACTTTTTTGTAAAGCTCCACCATAAATTCGATAAGTTCAAAGCAAAGATTAGGCCCTACCAAGAAAAAAAAAGTTAACCTATTTATAATAACTTTTAAAAAAATAATTTATACCCAACTCAATGCAGAAGTATAGAAATATCACAATAAATAGTAAAATGTTAGTATTAAAAAAATGAGATTCATGAAAATAATCAAAATAAAAATTAAAATAAAAAATTAAAAAATCTTAGTATTTTTATGAATTAAAAATTAACAGATCCCAAAAAACATAAATTCGTTAGATTAAAAAGTTAAAATTTATATAAAAACTTTAATTAAACTTTTAAGATCCGCAAATATTGTAGTTAACATTCTATTTTTATTAACTTTAATAAAAAAAAAAAACAGAACCTACTTGAAGTATATAAAACAATATTCATAATACAATATAAGCTAAATTATATTTTATTATATATAATACAATGTTATGTGATATATTATTTACGTCTTAAAAAGTTTGTAATTAAATATTTTTTTTATAATAAATGTTAACTAATAAATTTGTATTTTAGCTTTGGGTTCTGTAAATTTTCGTACTATTTTTTTCATACGTCTGTTACCGTTTGTAAAATTTACTTTCAGTAATTTTTTTCTTTTATACTTGTTTAAAGTTCAAATTATTTAAATTGTACTTAAAAAGTACATCTTTATAAAACATATATTTTTATTAATTTTGCTTAATAATAACGTGTACACATCAAAAGCGCTTAAAATGCCATTTGGGATTAACAGAATAATATTGTAATAATTTTTACTTTTTAACAAAATTTCTGAGGAAAATTCGCTCATCATCGCACTCAGCAAGGACTTCGTGGAATCAAGTCCAACAGCGAATATTTTTTTTAAAACACAACAAGCATAGATGCGTTCCATCTCAATAAACTCAGTAAAGGTTAATTTAAACTTATGAGCCCCTCTGTAATAAAAACGTTAATATTAACATTATTTCCAAAATAATACCAACAGAAACAGTAAAAAAAAGTTATAATATGACAGTTTAGAAGTGACTTTAAATATTTCAAGCATTCAACTTCATTTAAATAATATTGATCACTCAGCTGGACAATCACTTCAAAGCGTTGAGGTGTTTCAATATTTTGAATTTTTATTCTACGTGAATGAAGATTTAAATATAAGGTAAATACTCCTCAGTATGATTTATTACACCTGTCTTCATTAGAAGGCTGTGGAAAAGAATAAAAATTTTTAGCTAAATTTTTCCGGCCGATGAGCAATTTTAACTCATCAATACTTTGCGAAGAGTTTGAGAAGTAAGCGAAGCAGAGCTCCAGTTTTTCGTAAATCTCTCTATAAGTAGGTTCTATAATATTTTATATAAAACAGATATAAAAAAAATTGATTCAAAGATCTATTAGTATACCTTCGTTAAGTTCATTTTCCATGCTAAGGTATAAAGTAAAAAGAAAGACTGAGACCTACTGTTTACTAATTGCTCTGTTTAAAAATGAAACCAGAAAAGCGCGCTTATATCACGTGGCCTTCCGAGCAAGGTTTTAAAGCTTTAACAGGGCCTAAAAGTTAGATTACTTGTTAGCTGTACTATAATTCTTTCATTTTTGAACTTCTATTATATTTACTTAACACTATTACTAATAATATTTTTTACTTATTTTTTGTATATATATATTTCTACTATTTACTAAAATATATGTTTTTTTGTAAGTTATTAAATATTTAAGAACTGGAGAATTCAGAGCTTGATCTTTTATTAGGATACCTGATGTAATTTATGCAAGAAAATAATGTACAACCCTCTTCCTTTTATGTTTACTTTTTTAGAATAGATCTTATTGTGCATACTCCTGCTCTTAAGTCTCATCACGAATATTCTATATTTATTGTTTAGTGTTTATTTTATCTTCGATTCCGGTATTACAGGTATCGTATATGGTAAGGTGAGGGTCATCACTAATTAATGTAACAAAAAAGATTGGTATGCGAGTCAAATTTTTTTTCTTTTTTTGGTGTTAGCCTTGCAAAGTTCATTTTAAATTTAATTTTAATCCCTTGTGGAATTTGTTATAGAATGAAATATTATGTTCTAAAATGAATGAATCATCGAGAATGCATAAATCAAAAGTGGGGTTACTAGGACTGTCGAAGTATTATTTATGGGATATCAAGGATAAGTAGTATTAGTTCCTATTAAAATTTGTATAAATTTGTACAAAAAAGTATATTAAAGCAAGTTTTTAATTTACTGAACCGATTTCGGTCTGTATTTTTACTTTTACGAAAAAAAAGGTCGAACTGCTTTCAAATGTGTACAGTAAATTTAATTGAACCAGATAAAATTTACTTTGGTTTTTTTGTATCCAATTAATAAGATCTGCCAAATTAATTTTTTTTTGTATTGAAATATTAGTTCATTCCTCTTTTCTTGTGTTTTTATTGGTTGTTTCTCAGATTTCTGATTGGATTAAACACGGATTATTTTTCCTGAGTAAATTTAGAGTTAGCGTTTTGTTTTTCTGTTGTTTTTCGTATGTTTTGTATCACGTTTCAAGTTGTGACTTAGGTGTTGTGTGTACCGTGTTTTTGTGTTAGTTACCTAAACATAAAAAAGATAAACCTTTTAAACAAGAGATACAAGTGAACCCCTAAGCTATTATGCAAATGTGCGATTATTTAAAAATTTAAGTCAGGCAGTGTGACGTCAAACAATAAACTATTTTTAATGAAAACTGATTAACATAGCGACAAACTGATTATTTTAGCATTTTAAATAAATTCAAAGGATTTTAACAACGAGAGCTAGGTAAAGGAAGTGTAAAGCATTTTTGCTTCACTATGCCAGAAGGATGTAGACAGTAAACAGTTTTAGGAACAAAGCTTAGTACGCAGCGAAACTAAGCGGAAAGTAAATTATTTCTAATTTTTGATAGTTTTACGTCTGCATAAGACTTGAAAAATGTAAACTCCCAAAGGCTTTCATCATTCGGTTAAAAGGGTAGCTTAAGAAGATGGCTTTCATATGTGTTTGGGGAGAGGGTACAAGCCCTAAGAATTTTTAAAATAAAAAGAATCTATGCAGTTTGCCGCACTGTTGACTTATTGGGTCGTGTACGCTTCCAGTCCTTGTTAGTTTACTAGAACCTTCGAGTCAAATTACCCCTTAGGGGGGGAGCAGAGAGTAATTGAAAATACACCTTACATAAAACAAAATCAACATCACGAAGTTCCCTATATGTAAATGCGAAAATGTTCCGAGATAAAAAAAAAAGTTACAACTATTTAATAAAAAAAAGAGCCATTAAAAAACCAAATAAAAGCAAAAAAAACTAATATTGAAAATAGAAAAAGGACGAAGGCACGTTCTTGAAATTTTACGAGTTAATCGATTACAGTAATTTTTAAAATCTAAAATAGGAATTAGAGTTTTTTTGAAAATATTAATTTGTTTAATATATCTTTTGTAAGTTATATTAAATATTACAGAATGGTTAATTAAGAAAATATTGCTTGTTTTTCTCTTTTTAAAATTGAGAAGCATCAAATTTTAATAAATAACTGACTAACGCCAGGAACGTGCGTGGTGTGATCCGCTGTTCTCATTTGTTTCCAA